CATGGCTATCATATTGCTTAGTGGCTAAACAAAATCTTTACTAAATCTAGTAAAAGTGGATAGATGTGAATGTTAATAATAATATCTAGTTCAAATATATATATCTTCTTATATATATATATATATATATATATATATATATATATATATATATATATATATATATATATATATATATATATATATATATATATATATATATATATATAGAAGATATATATATTAAGATGCTCTCCACAAAGGACAAAGGAGAGACTACCACAGGCGCAAGACGCCATAACGACTAGACGAGAGTTTGTAGATGACTACGTAGGAAAGAAAGAAATGAAGAAAAATATCTGATCGAGTTTGAGCATGTGGTGGTGGTGGGTGCAGAGACGGGTCTGGAGAAGCCGCGGGTGACGGCGTTCGCGCACAAGACGCTGCGGGAGGGCCACTACGAGGCGGAGTTCAAGGTGCCGGCGTCGTTCGGGCCGGTGGGCGCGGTGCTGGTGGAGAACGAGCACCACAAGGAGATCTTCATCAGGGAGATCAAGCTCGTCACCGGCGGCGACAGCAGCACCGCCGTCACCTTCGACTGCAACTCCTGGGTGCACTCCAAGTTCGACAAGCCGGAGAAGCGCATCTTCTTCACCCTCAAGGTCTTCAGTTGTTTTTCCATGCATGCCTGGTGACTGCTGCACAAGAACGACGACGTACGTACCATGCATGGCACTGACTCTTGTTTCACGTGGCGTCGCGTGCGTGCAGTCCTACTTGCCGTCCGACACGCCCAAGGGCCTGGAGGACCTGAGGAAGAAGGACTTGCAGGAACTGCGCGGCGACGGGAGCGGCGAGCGCAAGGCGTTCGAGCGCGTCTACGACTACGACGTGTACAACGACCTGGGCGACCCGGACAAGAACCCCGACCACCAGCGGCCCATCCTCGGCGGCAGCAAGCGGTTCCCGTACCCGCGCCGGTGCCGCACCGGCCGCGCCCGGACCAAGAGGGACCCCCAGATGGAGAAGCGCGACGGGCACCACTACGTGCCCCGCGACGAGCAGTTCTCGGAGGTGAAGCAGCTCACGTTTGGGGCCACCACGCTGCGCTCGGGCCTGCACGCGCTGCTGCCGGCGATCAGGCCGATGCTGGTCAAGAAGGAGCTGCGCTTCCCGCACTTCCCGGCCATCGACGAACTCTACAGCGACGGCATCCCGCTGCCGGCGCAGACCGGATTGGACGCCATCCGCAGCGTCGTCCCGCGCGTGGTCAAGCTGGTGGGGGACACCACCGATCACGTACTCCGCTTCGAGGTCCCGGAGATGATAGAGAGTAAGATAGCTTAGCTACTAGCACTAGGCACTCCGCACTGGCACTGCACTGCACCCGTGACCCGTGGTTGGAATTGGAAATGGAAGCAAATCAATACTAAATGGCCGGGTTTGCATTGCTTTGTTGCAGGGGACCGCTTCTCGTGGTTCAAAGACGAGGAGTTCGCGAGGCAGACGATCGCGGGGCTGAACCCGCTGTGCATAAAGCTCCTGACGGAGTTCCCCATCAGGAGCAAGCTGGACCCGGAGGTGTACGGCCCGGCGGAGTCCGCCATCACCAAGGAGATCCTGGAGAAGCAGATGAACTGCGCCATGACCGTGGAGCAGGCGCTGGCGGCGAAGCGGCTCTTCATCCTGGACTACCACGACGTGTTCCTGCCCTACGTGCACAGGGTGCGGGAGCTGCCGGACACGACGCTCTACGGCTCCCGCACCGTCTTCTTCCTCACGGACCTGGGCACGCTCCTGCCGCTGGCCATCGAGCTGACGCGCCCCAAGTCGCCGACGAAGCCGCAGTGGAAGCGGGTGTTCACGCACGGGCCCGACGCCACCGACGCGTGGTTGTGGAAGCTTGCCAAGGCGCACGTGCTCACCCACGACACCGGGTACCACCAGCTGGTCAGCCACTGGCTGCGCACGCACTGCTGCGTGGAGCCCTACATCATCGCCGCCAACCGGCAGCTCAGCCGGCTGCACCCGGTGTACCGCCTCCTGCACCCGCACTTCCGCTACACCATGGAGATCAACGCGCTGGCCAGGGAGGCGCTCATCAACGCCGACGGCATCATCGAGGAGTCCTTCTGGCCGGGGAAGTACGCCATGGAGCTCTGCTCCGTGGCGTACGGAGCCACGTGGCAGTTCGACACGGAGGCGCTGCCCAACGACCTCGTCAAGCGTGGGCTCGCCGTGCGCCGGGACGACGGCGAGCTGGAGCTCACCATCAAGGACTACCCCTACGCCCACGACGGGCTCATGGTCTGGAACTCCATCAGGCAGTGGGCGGCCGACTACGTCAACGTCTACTACAAGTCCGACGAGGCCGTCGCCGCCGACCCGGAGCTGAAGGCGTTCTGGGACGAGGTGCGCAACGTGGGCCACGGCGACAAGAAGGACGAGCCGTGGTGGCCCGTGCTCAACACCCGCGACAGCCTCGTGGAGACGCTCACCACCATCATGTGGGTCACCTCCGCCCACCACTCGGCCGTCAACTTCGGCCAGTACCACTTCGGCGGCTACTTCCCCAACCGCCCGACCACCATCCGGAAGAACATGCCCGTGGAGGAGGGCCAGGACGAGGAGATGAAGAAGTTCCTGACGCAGCCGGAGACGACCATGCTGGAGATGCTACCCACGCAGATGCAGGCCATCAGGGTCATGACGACGCTGGACATCCTGTCGTCGCACTCGCCCGACGAGGAGTACATGGGGAGTTCGCGGAGCCGTCGTGGCTGGCGGAGCCCATGGTGAAGGCGGCGTTCGAGAAGTTCAGCGGCAGGATGAGGGAGATCGAGGGATTCATCGACGAGTGCAACAACCACCCGGAGAACAAGAACCGGTTTGGAGCCGGGATCGTGCCGTACGAGCTGCTCAAGCCCTTCTCCAAGCCGGGAGTCACCGGGAGGCATCCCCAACAGCATCTCCATCTGATCGACTGATCCGCAGCATTAGTTTCTCGGTATCAGGCTCTTTCAGCTCCACCTCCAATGGGAGGTTGCATTATTGCACGCAGAGGCTGCTTGTCAAATAAAATGTACTCTGTACGATTGTATTGCACCATGGATTATACATTTGAGTTACTACCATTTACTACCAAGCTACTAACATGACATTACTAACAGAGCATTTTTATTTTACCGTCTTTAGAACTTAGAATGCACAAGAAATACCGCCAGATTATAACCGGCCCGGAGGGAGAGATCAAAATTTGGCAAATACTCTCTACGTATAATTGACCTAGAAAACAAAAGGTAAAACAACTTTATACATTTTAAAACGACTAGATACCGTACCAATTTCTAGTACCCTGTCTACGTACAGTATAATTTTGAGATACCTTCCCAGTAGGAAAAAGATCACCTCACTGGTAACTCGTGAAATGAGGTACTGTAGTAAAAATGACCCTGCAGGTGTTAGAATAATCCAGACTTTCAACAGAGCAGCAGAACACGTACAAACGACAGGCTGATCAATTTCTCTCCGTGCATCACGAACACCACAGCCGAGATCGAAATATGCTGGTTTCGTCACGTATCATCCAAAAATATTCACAGGAAAACATGTGAACCCAGTGCCATGGGCATGGGCGCTTCAGGACCAAGCCAGATCGGATCATCGGATGCCGCTGGAAGCCAATGTCCACTGGCTAGCTAACACTTGTTATATCCACAGTTTCACAGACAGCGAACATATATACAAATACAGCAGACTACAGGAAGTGAGATAGGGGCCACCAGACCTGTCAAACTGGAGATGCTACAGTCCAAAGAAAAAAAAACTGGATATGGACAAACCACAAAAGAGCACCCAAAATATCATCCCCATGTGGGCTCAGATTACTCTGGTCCCAAAGAGACGGGTAAAGAACTCGCGTAAGTAGTAACTGTACGGGTAGAGATTAAAAAAAAACTGTACGGGTAACCACTAACCAAGATTGAACCAGTTTCTCCAGGAGTAAGAGACTGGACGGAGTTTGTTGTACTGCTTTCTCCGTTGACAACAACGTCTGTGGTATCTACCCGTACTCCAGTCCTTGGTAGTCAGGGCGTTTAACACAGCAGCTTTGACCATCACCAATTGGCATGGGTAAGAAATGCGGAAAGAGGTGCGACACGGTCGAGAACTCGAGATACTTGGGAGTGCCATCGAGTAGATAAGGCAGCATAAGACCCGGAAGAATTGGAGAAGAACAAGCATTCATCACCGGGATATGCAGCTCTCTGTTCCACCCTGATTGACTGATGAAAATAATCAATGTAATGACAAGAGCTTAAGCAGAAATAAGAAGCACTATCCAGTGAAATACCAGTAGAGGACGGCTCAAAATACGGTCGGGTTGTTATGAAAGAGGGGTCCTGAGCATCAACCTCCAAGTGCTGTGTTGTGCTAATCTTTTGAAGACCTGTTGATTCGACAAGCTTTACTAATTTGTCTGCTATGATTGTCATTGGCGGGCGGAGATCTGGTGATTGCTGCATTGTGGAAGAAATACCATGACTCCATGAGTAATTGTAACTTGTGGTAAAGTCTAATTGATTAATCTTTACGTCATCAGAATTGCCGCAACAATATATTATCAGCCCTAATGCTTGACGATTTATATACACAAAAACTCTAAGCCTTTCAACTAGCACCAGGCACGCTCCTCCACAACTTACACAGTCTGCAGAGCTCAAAAGTTAAATGCGAATATGTACCAGGAAAGAGAATGGAGAACTACCTTGACGCAAAGCAAGATGATAATGCCTAATGAAGATATAGCTTTAGGTGGCATAGAGCCCCTTATTCTTGGATCAGTTATTCTTTCCAGTGAATCAAGATCATCAAGATGAGGAGCTGCCCAATCTACTAGAAACTGCTCGTTTGGCCTTCTTGAACTGAAGAGGAAAAGACTCTTTAGTTAGAAATCCAGACTGCAACTTAGGTACAGAAGAGAACAGAGAATACGTACCTGTCAAAAGCCTTTTGCCCAGTCAAAAGCACAAGCAAAATAACACCAAAACTGTAAATATCAGCTTTGATGCCATCTGCTCCTGGATCACTGAGCTCAGGGGCAGCATAGCTTTAGCACTGGTGATAGCTTCTGAATCCTTCTGTTCAGGTGAGGAAGTGTTATTTTAAAGAACATAATCAAATGAGCAACCATTAATGGCCAGCTGATCAAGTTATAGGAATTCAATTTGAAATATTCAGCAAGCAAACATAAAAGCAACATTTGTTTTTTTAACAAAAAACAATATTTATTATCACACATTTTTGGGAGAACAGGGTACAAGTAGTTCTAGGGTACACAATACACTAACAGGCTTAATATGTTTGGAGAGAAAACATCAAGCAAGGAAACTAAACAAATTACACCAATATTTCATAAGTACCAACATCCGAGAGTATGTTCAGTAATAAATCTCAGTTTTGAATAAGATGCAGTTTCTGTTTTGAATTCATATTCCAATCAGGAGAGGCCATCGTTTATGCATTAGGATAAAACGGATGATCGGCGTTCAAGGTGCAACTTGATCCTAGAATTAATTGAATACTCCCTCAGTTCCAAATTATAAGTTGGCTTTTTTAGGTACATAGCTTTTGCTATGCACCTAGAATTCTAGATATATAGCAAAATCTATGTACTCCCTCCATTCCATATTATAAGACGTTTTTGCTTTTCTAGATACATAATTTTGCTATGCACTTAGACATACACTATGTCTAGATAAATAGTAAAAGCAATGTATCTAGAAAAGCTAAAATGTCTTATAATTTGGAACAGAGGGAGTACCTAGAAAAGCCAAAACGACTTATAATTTGGAACTGAGGGAATTAGATAACTGTATAGTCATACTAAAGATTACATACAAAGTAGTACTACTATCCTTGGTAACAGGGAAACATGAGGACACTGACCATTCTTGTGGTGTTGACAAAATGGCTTAACTTGGTTAACCCACTGTCACAGAGGTAGGGCATGAGCTGAGCATCAAGCAAAATATTTCTAGCTTTAATATTTCCATGGGCAACTGGAGGGGAACACGTCAAGTGCATGTATCTGCACAGATAAAGATACATATAAAAATTGGGAAAGCTAATGCCCATATAAAATTTCAAAAATTAAAAGAGGGGTCCACTCTAACTAATACTTTTGGTGTTTTGCACTAAGAAAAAGCCCCTATTAGTGCAAATATATGTAATTGATAACCACGCTGTACAAAAAAAAGAAGGTGAAAGTAATTTGCTCAGAGTGTAAATCTTACTCCAGAGCATAGGCAACTCCAAGAGCAATCTTCATCCGAGCTTTCCATGACAAAGCCCTGGATCTTGTGGCTGCTGAAAACAGAATATCAGCAAGAGAGCCATTTTCGGCGTACTCATATAGAAGCGCACAATGTCCAAATTCCACACAATATCCCACAAGCGCACTGATATTGGGGTGCTTTAATCTGGAGATATTCCAAAGCATGTCCATTAATTCATCCTGTTCTGATAATGACAGATCTACCATGTCAATCCTCTTGATAGCCAGGAGCTGTGAACATATTGAGAAATTTTTAGTAAAATTATAGAGAAAATCATGACCGCTAGGAAATTTGGTAAACCCGTACTTCAATATTTAGAAAAATCACAAAATTTTTATGTTACTGAAGAACAAATTTGCATTAAGACAATGAGAACTTATTTCAGGAGCAACATATTACACTACAAATTCCATCCTCCTTGAACCTTAAAGGTACATCTTATCAAGACTCAAAGACATCAATAAAAAGAAAAGCATGTGCTTCCTCCCCTCACAGTAACCCCTCTCATCACAACCTAACCCGTACTTCAATATTTAGAAAAATCACAAAAATTTTATGTTACTGAAGAGCAAATTTGCATCAAGACAATGAGAACTTACTTCAGGAGCGATATATTACACTACAAATTTCATCCTCCTTGCACCTTAAAGGTATATCTTATCACGACTCAAAGACATCAATAAAAAGAAAAGCATGTGCTTCCTCCCCTCACAGTAACCCCTCTCATCACAACCTTTCTCTGGTCAGAGAAGGCCCCCAAACTGCTTAAACCTGATGTCCACTATCCAACACAGCCGGATAGGTAAACAGCGGCTTGTTACTCATGCAAGCAGTAAATAGGAATTCCCAGAACAAGAAAGAAGAAAGAGCCTGCAGCACGGAACACTGACAAGCAAGCTTTCATGCCGAGACAGGGAAAAAAATCAATTTGTGGATATGTGGATGAGATAGCAGTAGAGCACACTTCAGCTATTAGGGGTCTGAAATGCATGTTGTATTAAATCATGTCATAAAATCTTCCTCAAGATTAAGTGACAATTAATAATACTATTTTCCAACAAGGATACTACATAAGAGAGAAGACAACAATATTTGTATATTTATTATCAAACTACCATACCTGGCCATCAGAAAAATCACCTCTATAAACTCGGCCAGTGAGACCTTCACCAATAAAACATTCTTCATTGAAGTCCCTGGTAGCCGCTAGAATGTCCGCAGCTGGAAACTGCTTTGCAGTTAGAAGGTTTTTAGATGTCTTGAACCAACTTTTTATTTTGGGAACTCTTTCAGATGTAATGCCATTACTAGATGAAGTATCACTGCCAATCAATAGAGAACTCCAAGAGTACAGGACCTCATTTGCTTTAGGGACTATAAAATGGAAAACAGCATGAGTTTTAGTGATGTGAAATAATCTTAGTCTATCCTGTAAATAAAGAACGCAGCATCAAAGAATGAAAAACAAACATATGTACATGGATGCATTTAACAAATGTGCCTTGAAAATAACGAACAGTTCAGGTTTTATGATGAGTCCTAGATTTACAGTTCAGATCCTAGATTAGTAATGAAAATAAAATAGAATTCTAGCTATCGGTATCAGTTACAAATGGATGAATATTTTATGATTGAACAATTTAAATTCCCATGTGTACCTGTTTCCATATTGGCTGGTAAAGTCTTGGCATGGTTAGAGGTGCTCTTAGGGTTGCATGAACAGCTTCTCTGACTTTTCAGAACCAATCCAACAATGAGGAGTACAAACACTGTACATGTGGCACTAGCTATTGCAGCAGCTGTCACTCGAGAGTGTGACTTCCTATGGTGGCTATTATTTTCCAGAGAAGAATAACCAAAAGAAGGCTTTAGAGATTTTGGCCTTTGCTTTGGTTTCTGTTTAGCTGCTGGTGGAGGTGGAGGTGGAGATTGAGTTGGAGGTGGAGATTGAGTTGGAGGTGGAGACAAAGATTGAGGTGGATCTGGAGGGGTCCTCCTAGTAAATGAGGACGATGCATGTTTGAAACCAGGTTGAAATTGGTTTCCATCAATCCTGGAATGTTGACCACAAAGTTAATAATTTATTTAGCTAGATATGAAGCCAAGACACGTAGAGATAGGCAGAGAGGAGGGGGAGGAGGGCAAAGTATAGCAGAATTCAATACCTCAGCTCAGGAATGGACTGAAATGGTCCAGGAACATAGCCACTGAAGTGATTATTTTCAATATTGCTGTGCCAAAAAATTTATGATCATCAGGATCAAGAGTTAAGCTGCATAAAATGCAGGAAAATATATTTAAGCAACAAATCCAGTCAGAATTCTTACAGGGATGACAATGGAAGGCCTGCTAACAAAATCACAGATCCTGTGAACTCGTTATGATGTAGATAACTGCAAATGCAAAAACGAGAAAACCTATATTGAAACAGGTGCTGTGTCCATGTGCATGAAATAGCTGGCTCCAAAGGCAGATCGGTCTTACAGATAGCGAAGGTTCGTCAATGAGCTAAACGATCTTGGTAGGTCACCACTGAAAGCATTGAATGACAGATCCCTGAAAACCAGGGTGGGGGATAAACTTCACATGAGTCGATAAAGATCAAATAAATTGGGACATTTTTGTTTGCAAGGATGGTCAGGATATGAGAATGCCATGAAGGGTGGAAACAAAACTGCTCTAGCATCAAAATGTGCACTTTTTCAACAACTAAAAATGAACAGGTGGAAACCTGTTTGAAGGAAGCACAGAACAGATCTTAACCAAAAGAAAAAGAAAAAGGAAATGAAGTGCAGACATTTAGGACAGCTTGCTGTGCACACACAACATATTCTACATGATAGGAACAAAACACATCAAACCATCCATTGTGAATGATAAAACATCATACAGCCATCGGTCAGATGCAAGAAAACATGTATGGGCACAACTGAGTAACCGCAAGGACCATATCCACAAATGTATTAGATGAATAAAAGCTAGCAAACGAATGTGTAGACACTAATGTACTGCTGAAGTTTCTACTGTAGATGCATACATTAAAGGAAGAATTCCCATGTCTTATTGCCAATGTTATATTAATGAACATCAAAGGGAGATAAAAAATCACTTCCAACTGGACAGATGACCGAGTAATTAAGATGAGCGAACCTACATCGTTTCTAAGCTATCCATGTTAACAAAAACATCACCAATTACTCCAGAGAGTTTATTGTAGCTAAAGTTCCTGCCACAAAAAGTTACACATCGGTCAGTTAATTGTACAACCAGATTACAGAATGTGAAACACTCCATTCAAAAAAATACACTCACAGATATTTTAGGGAGTGCAACCATGGTAATGATGATGGTATATTCCCTTCAAACTTGTTGGCTGCCAGATTTCTGCAAGAGAACAACCATAGGCACATAATTTGTATTTAATATTTTAAGTATTGAGTCAGTTAAAGGTGATATCCAAAGAAGGGAAAAGGGGCATACAAGTATTCCACATTTGGGGGCAAAGTGGGAGGGATTTCACCAGCAATGTTATTGAAGCTCATGTCCCTATCATCAACATGAGAAGAAAAGCACCACAAACTAAATTGAATCAAGAATTGCGAAGTCAAAACCAGCTAGCATTGTACAGAAACTTGGGAATTAGAAGCTCACAGCTTTTTCAACGACTGAAACTTTAGCATATCTGGGCCAAGCCATCCTCCAACTCCGAGCCTGCTAATATTTCTGCATGTGAGTAGCAGAGCAAATAACAAAGCCAGTTGATCAGCTTTCTATTAATTTGTAAGCAAAAATAATCAAAAGTTAATGAGCTAATTTAAGAATTACATTGCGACAATGGACGATCCCTTGCAAACGACGCCTCGCCAGTGTTTACTCCCTCTACCCTCACCGCATGGATCACCGCCCTGGAATGTCCAACCAGAGAGCTGCCACAGCGACTCCAATGTGCGATATAACCCCCAAAGTCCTAATGCTGCGAAGCAGCAAAAACAATGTGACAAAATAAGCACAATACAACAAACCTGTTGGAACCTACTGCTTACAAAGTCACAACTTCAGAGCACCAAAAACACAGAGACAACAGAATTGCATCCCAGTATCCCACCAAGGTATTTGAGCAAAGGAAAACAAGCATGGTCGGAGTATTGTGTACCCAGGGTTAAATGCAACGACCACTATCAATCCCATGTGTGAGCATGCACAGATGAGAGATGAGATGACTATCCCGGTCTCGCGATCGTAGCCAACCATCACAGAGCAAAATTCAATAGCAAGCATGCATAGACGCACGCACAGGTGCGCCCAAAATGAACCACCTCAAACTACAAGCAAGTGCCAGACAACGTGCAAGCGACTACATTCACACGCGCGCTGGGAACCGAATTGACAAACACTGACTCGGAGACGCCACAAGCGCGACGAGTAGAGCATGCCACGGGATAAGTGCTGGATGGCCGTAACCTACGGGACGAGGGGCCAGGATACTCACCATCAGGGGGGTCGGTGAAGGACGCGGCGGAGGCGAACAAGGCGCAGAGCATCGCCACGCCGAGGAGGTGGCGCGCCGCCCCCATTCCAACCCCTCGCGGCGCACCCAGTGAATCCGCCGCGCCGGTCCCCGCGAAATCCTGGGTCGGCTCGGGCAATCCGGGGCGCGGACCGGAGCAGGGCGGGCCCGAACGTTCTGGAAGCTTCCGGGAACCGCGCGCTTGCGACACCGTTTGAATTCCTCCCCCCAATTCCGCGCCGACCGCAAGATCGCGCTCGGATCACGTACCAGATCGCGGATTGGAGGAGCAAGGCAGCCGTAGCGGGGCGAATCGCCTGGTGTGGCCTGCGGAATGATGCGGGTGCTTCCGAGATGGTGAGGGTTTTGGGGGTTTTGGTTTGGTGCGGACGGAGGCTTCGGTTTTTGGGAGGGAAAAAGAGGAGGGGAGGAAAGAGTGCGGAGGAGGGACGGTTGTCACATGTACGGCGCGTGAGGCCAGCCCCAACGCACAACGGTGCCATGTCATCGAGCATGTACAATGTCACACATGTTACAGTGTCTCCAATAAGAGCATCCACAGTGTGTCAACCCATCTTTAGGTCTTAACTGGAGCCCACAACTGATTAGACATCACATTTTCTTCTATCAGCAATATATCGAACCTAGCATGAGTCCATGCGTGGGCCCAAAATCAAATGCACCCTCCTCTCCTTTGCGCGAGCGCAAAGAATGTCGAAAAGAGTTCTTTATTTCTTCACCCGTGTTCCATGCGAAGGAGCCGGTCCTTCATCGAACCATGGTTGCAGTGTATAGGATCGGGTTCCATCTTAGCATTTATTGTATCGCACCGGCTTCGACCCTCCCACTGCGGATGCTCTAACATGACCTATTCCTAAAAATGTGTCGTGCACAGTATTTTAATGGCAAAAAACAGGTTCTAACCGAGTAGGCAAACACAACACCCATTTTGGGTGGGAGGCGACGCAGAAGGCCAAAAAACATCCTCCTCCATCATTTTTGTCTCCGCCAGGCCCACCACCACGAGGGAAGGGGACAACCGGAGCCGGCTCAACACGGCAGCCAGCTGCGGCTCCCTCGCCCACAAGCCAAGATCGAGAGGGGCTCCGCGCCGCCGCCCAGATCAGGTCGCGCCCTCACCGCCCCCGGTTTGGGAGAGGCCACCATGGTCGGGTGCCTTGCCCGCTTTCAGAAGCGCGAGATGAGGGAGGCGCTACTGCAAAGATCTTTATGCCATGTCCGCCGCCGCCGCAGGCAGGAGGATCTGCGCGCCACGGTGGGGAGAGGAGCCGCCGGCCTTGGCTGCCTTGCCGGATCTGGACCCGCTCCCCCGCCACCGGCGATGAGCAGCGCAGCGTGGGGGCGGAGGTGCTCATTGGCGCTCGCCCAGCGCTCGCCGGATCTCGCAGGGAGGGAACGCCAGAGGGAGGGAGGGAGGCGGCAGCAGCGGAGCTCCCACATGCCCGCCCAAGGGAAAGAGGAACTTCGTCCGGGGGCTGGGACAGGTCCGCGGCGGGAGCAGGCCGCGGCCGGGGTTGCGCGAGAGCGAGGCGCCCCGCGCACCGTGTGGCACGTAGGACCGGCCGGTGTGGTCGCGAGTCCGCTGCGCAGAGGGCAGGCCGGGGCGGCGGAGAGGACCGGAGTCGGCGTTGCCGGAGATCGAGCGGGTCGGCCGCGGCACGTAGGGCAGCTTGGGCGGCGGTAGCGGCAAGCGGCATAGGGGGAGGGGGCACGAAGACCGGGGTGCCCGTGGACGCCGTGGCGGCGTCGGTGGATCCGGCCGTAGGAAGTTTTGAGGTCGCACTGTTGGAGATTGAAAGTTTTGGGTGCGCGACCTTTTTACTGTACGTGGCCTAAACCATAGTATGGGTTTCTATTTTAGATTTCTTCTGTCGGAGATAGTCTTAGGGCAGCAATGCAAGCTAACAGTGTCACGTAAAAGAAAGATCCACATAGACTAAGCATCAAATGCCCCAGCGCAGATATATACATTAATTGGTTGTGCGGTGACCAGCGCAATGTTGCTCTGTCATATGCACTGTAACTTTTTGATGCGCGCGATAGAGTCCTTTTTCCAGCCACAAGCGCACAACGCGTGTTGGAACGGCGGCTCTAACCTTTTGTTAGACCAAGCAGCCGCATCTTTTGCAAGCGCTTCTGACATGCTGCGAAGCTAACACTCAAGCTGATGTGGACGCTGGATGCAAACGTGGATGCCGGGGTATACATACAGGATGGAGCGTGGGACACGACCTTAGTAGTGTCACAGATCGTCAAAGCCTCAATAGCCTGTCTGATGCACAACATAAGCACACACTGAAACCAGCGCTGTGGCGAGATAGAACTCACTTCGCTAAATCAAAGCAAGGAAAAAGCATCCACATGTCCATCTTTTTGGCTCTTCAAAAGCAGCAAAGTGACAGGGTAAGAATAAACTGAGGCTCGGTAGATGGTAGTCTCCTCACTCACTCTCTTCATCCCTGTGGACTTAAACTTTTTATTATAGGCTAATGATGTTATATGCCCGTGTTGGTAGTGCCCTAAGCGGCAATAGACCGGACGGATTATAATGTTGGGAAGACTCAATTTTGTTTAAATAAACTAGTAACATAATTGTATGCCATAAAATTGTTTTATACAAATGAGAAAAGTAAACAATATGACAACATATGCGAAATTGCGAACGTGCTGGATTCCACCACCAGCCTCGATCACTTGGCCTTACTTTGCTTACACCGGCGAGCCAATGCTTGTTTGTTTTGCCACGTTAACATCATCGTCTAGCTGTGATTAAAATTTATTGATTTTCATTTGCTTTTTCAGGCGAAATATGTATATAATAATTAGCATTTATATGTAGAAACAAACTAATACAAGCGCATGATGATCAAATTCTGAATACTTGCATAAAATTGGAAGTAGTAATGGTTAGCTTCAAGTAATTTGCAGAGACTACAGGATATTTTCGGCTTAAGAAAGATATTCAAACATACCTATTTCAAGTTTTCTACACAATCACTAACGAGGACTTATAAGCTCACTATGGATCCAGTATTTTTCCTACTCACATCATCAAAAGCATATGAAGTGTATACTTACTGCAGAATTGGATCTAAAAGAATTTTTTTTCTTGAATACGCAGGAGAGTTGCATATCATTGTATTAAGAGAGAGAAAAAATGGTCCCATACAATTATACCCCTTACTCCGGACCGAGCCGTAGGAGGATCCTAAAACAAAGTTTTTCTAACCAATAAAAACACACACTTTGGGTGAGACCTGACCAACACTCTAACCGCCTACCTACCCTATCGCTAGAGCTGGACCTAAGGCATCAAGCTTCCGTGCACCCGCAAGACACCACAAGTGGTGTTCATCGCTAAAGGCACGCAACAGGTCATTTATGTTGGGATTGGCACCCTCAAAGATGCAGAGAAATTCATATCGAAGATGGATAATTTTTAGCACATCTGCGAGCATACTCCTTGATGGCCTTCCCTTCAACAAACCAGCAGTCTTCTCATTATTCGCTAACTACTCTTGTTACTCAAGTCGAACAAATAATGGGTATTCCTCCATGGCATCAATTGTCTTGAATAATTCTTCATTTGGATACTCGCATCACTGAAACGCATGATGTATGTCATATCACGCAAAATACATGAGTCACCTCTTTGATCACACATCATCATGCTTAGTCCTCTTTACTTTTTCAGTCTTGCCAGCACACAGCAGTAGGATGCTTGCTAGATCAGCTTCCCTCATTATTGTCCTCGTCTTCGTCTGAATCCTACTGCAAATCAAGATCAACACAATGATTTACATTTTTATTACTAATTAAATCTCCATCCTAAATGGAAGGAAGATCATATGATGCCTAACGAACAGTTAAATCGGTTGCATGCTTATCCTGAAAGACGAATTTCATCTCATCATAGAAATAGATGGGGACGTTGTTAATAAATTTTGCCCTTAGAGATATATGTCCTACACATATCCAGTACAAATTTTCATACTTTACTACACTTCACAAGTAGTATAACCAAATCAAATTTATAAGGATAGAAATATTTACATTCTACATCCTTATAGCCTCTGTTTCATCATAAAGTATTTGTTTCTCCACTTTGTCAAAGTCCGTTCCACTTAGTCCACTTAAATTTGAACATCTTAATCATTTGGTGCAACCTCCATCCTCACCATTGAAGCGGAACGATTAGCCACCTTAACCATGGTACGATTCAATTCGAAAACATTTGGTGGTCAAATTGGTAGACTCTAGATACCAATTATATATCATGGTCTAGGATACCCAATTACCAAATCGACACAAGCAAGAGAGAGTTACTTCAATTCCATGATAGGTTCATGCAATCACATATACAATTTGGTAGCTAGAGGATCAAAGACACAAAAGAGAACTCGGAAGTGGAAAAACAAAGTAGGCTAGAGATGAGCAATCGAGCGCTTGATCCTGTGCATCGATTCGTAGGTGGTTGCTGCAATGGAAAAAGGGTAGATGCTGTGTTAGGTCAATAGGAGTAGATGGGAGGGCGTTTATATCGCTGCTATTGGTCTTAATGGTGTGCTACACAGTGATAGACCTCTATTTTGCTTCTAGCAAAGGGAAAACTAAGGATTCTTTTGCAATTTTTGTTCGGACATCAGGTCGGCCCGCACCTGACCCCACTTTTCTTTAGTCCAAAATTCATGGCCCGCACCCAACTGACATGTCATCTGGGTCAAGTATTTTTAGACAGATCGGATTAGATTCAGCGGGTCAAGTAGCCCATGACTAGGTCTAGATCTTTCCTTTCCTCAACCTTTCCCAAAATGTTTATAAAACTTCTTTTTGAAGAGCTTTTCCCAAAAATGGAAAATGCTTCTATCAGTTTTTTTCCTCTGAGTAAAAGTACCCATTTTCCATGCGCACAAAAAGCATAATCCAAAGCCCCTTGTTGGGAGATGTGTTTTCCATGTGCACGAAAAGCATAATCCAAAGGCCCTTGTTCAGAGATGTGTGATAGCAATCGCTAATGCACCGAATAGCGGGGCCCTATACTAAATG